CCAATCGCTCACTCTTGGAAGATCATCAGGAAGCAGCCTGTTCAAACGGTCCAATGGAGATCAGGCCATGAAATAATTGTTTTCTTCCAGTGGTCTTTGGGCTTAAAATCACTATAAAGTTTCCATTGTCAAAGAAACAGATTCTGCCTGTCTGCAGGGGTGCTGCAAACACCAGCCAGCCAATGGACATAATGGCATAATTAGCATTGCAGAGTAACAGAGACGAAAGGGACCTTGGAGGTCTTCTAGTCCAACCCCCTGCTTAAGCAGGAAACCCTATACCATTTCAGGCAAACGGTTGTCCAATCGCTTCTTTAAAAACAGGGTTGGAGGACCCACAACTTCTGGAGCCAAGTTGTTCCACTGATTAATTGTTCTATCAAGAAATTTCTCCTTAGCTCTAGGTTGGTTCTCTCCTTGATTAGTTTCCATCCATTGCTTCTTATCCTGCCTTCAGGTGCTTCAGAGTATCTTGACTCCCTTGTCTTTGTAGCAGCCTCTCAAATATTAGAACGCTATTGTGTCACCCCTAGTCCTTCTCTTCATTAGACTAGACAGGTCCAAATCTAAGGTGACACGATTTACCTATCTTGAAGTCAACGCCTAAACAGCCCCCCATCCTGGTGATCTCAGAATCTAGGATAAAGTTTTCTAGTGGCATCTATTAACTTTTAGAGAACTCTTTAACTAATTTCCCTTGAAGTTTGTATGTCCACAGATACAGTCATTTTATTTATTTTGCGTCACTGCCAAATAAAACTGTGGCAGAGCCTAATCAAAAACTGTAATGCAAACAAACTTATCAGAGAAACCCTGGGTAGAGGAAGGTAAGAGCGCCCAGTCATTTTCTCTATCCAGTGTGTGAATTTGCAAGAGACTCTGGGTGAAGACTTTTGTAGTCCAAAAAACTGTTGAGAGTATCTCCTTGACTTCTAAAGCGGGGTTTGGTTCAACAAGGAAAACATAGCATTTCTTTGTATTAAGAACAGCGGCTACAGTTGCACAATGAAAAACCTGTTTTATCATTTGCTTGAAGTTGCTTTAAAAAACATTAAAGGAAGTCTCTTAAGCCGTGGCTGGCATGTCAAAAGTCATTTCAGAATCAACAGTGTTTGCATGTTGAGTCACAAGAAGGTCTGCGGCCTACTCAAGAGGGACACAAGGGGGAGGAAAGCTATGGGGCAGTTCTCTTCCAGCGGGGACAGCTACAGGGTCAGCTGGTGCTCCATTCAAAACCCAAGAAAGAAATACTTAGACTCTTAATTAGAGAAAAAAATACCTTTTACTGGAAATGAAGGATTCTGACTCTGAGGAAATAGGTGCGTAAATCACATATACAAAGTGATGGCAATGTTCCCACCCCCAATAGTTCAAATGGTTCTTCCAATTAAAAATTGTGAATATCATCATGTGGACATCTTCAGGTGGTGATGAGGCTTCTGTCCGTTGACCTTGGCATACTTTGATAAAGGTTTGCAGCTGCGCAGAGAAGAAATAGAAACCTAAGCAAGAATGTACTCCCCCCGCCTCCTCAGTTTATACAATACTCGTTTGTACCACCTCCAGCTCGCTTCCCATACTTTTCTCCCCGCCTCCCCCCGTTACTTATGGCAGCCGAAAGATGCAAAGCAAAGGTAGAAGATCTTGAAGGCTGACATACAGAGTGAAGTCAGGGATTCATTCCTGTTAATCTGATGCAGCCAACAGACATTCTCTTCTCTGTTGTTGTATATAGAACGAGGCATCACTCCTTCACTGTTGTTCTGAAATCTACCAGCTGGAATCAAAAACAGAGAACTTCAGGAAGGGTTTGTGGGTAGCATATCGGTCTCTTACTCAGCGAAGGAGATTTGCAGCCCAAGATCTCCCAAAACATCACCTTTTAATCCACTTCGACCCCCAAGATCATTGACCAGAGAAAGAGCCAGAGCTGAAAAGAGGTTTTTTTGCAGACTACTTTGCCAAATTGCCCTACGATGAGAACATTGTGCTGTTGTTTTTTTATCAGGAAACCTCAGATAAGTGAGATTCATAACCTTAATAGCAGAGTACAAAGCTTATAGTTGTGCCTACTTATCTAGCACAAAATGTGCGTAAATATTCTAAAGTGGGTCATCAAGATCGAGAGCCGGGAGAGAGGCCACTCGGACTTTTCCAGGGAAGCTGGAAACGCTCTGGATTGCAACGGAAGGCCCTTCAGCCTTGATCTCAGCCCTTGGCCAAATATCTTCAGGGCTGCTCAGTTGAGGAGCCTGGCAAGGACAGAGGATCTGAGCTGATGACCGCTGGCTCCAGGCACCCAGGGGCAGCTGGAAAAGCTCACGAGGAGATTCTAAAAGCATCAAAGCAGGCAGCCCTTTTGTAGCGAAGGCCCTTCGGGAAACGGGAAACGGCCCTTCTGTCTGAGTAAGAGCCTGGGCCTGCAGGTTTCCAAGACCTGAGGGGCAGCAGTCCTGCTGGAAGTTCTTCTCTGACCTGGACTTCAGTGCCCTCGTGTTTAATCAACAGGGCTGGGGATTATGGGAGTTTAAATCCAAGACTCCTGGAGACCCTTGGAGGGAGAGAGGGCCACCTTGAAAGCTACCAGCACAGCAAGACTGATTTTCCTTGACAAGTCAACGGGACTGAAGAGCAAGTCAAAAAAACACCAGTCCAATTCACTAGGAAGGCCAGTTTGGTGTAAATAGTTAAGGCACCAGGCTAGAGGCCTGGAGATTTGTGAATTCGAGTCCTGCTTTAGGCATGAAAGCTGGCTAGGTGACTTTAGGCCAGTTCTTCTCACAGCCCAACTCGCCTCTCAGGGTATTGTTGTGGGGAATGTAGAAGGAGGGAGGAGCATTGTATATGTTCGTGGCCTTTCTTGCAAAGTAATAAAGGCGGGATAACATAAAAAAAAATAAATGCAAAAATATCCACAATTTGAGTAAGAATTGCTGCAAACTCCTGCGTGTTCAACCTTGCATCATTTACAAGGAAAGCAGATTCTTTTCTCATTCAAGCAAGTCCTAACTTCCCCCTTGGAGGAAACGAAGTACAAAGGACCACCAGTGAAGAAGGCAGATTCTTTCTCAGTGAGCAGCAGACGTATTTTTGCATTAACAAGATTTCCTAGTTCCAAACTCGTCCTTGTCAAAAGGACGAGATAAACTGCAGAGTTGGAGAAGCCATCCCTGGCCTTTCTGGGAACTTAAATGTTTTGTTACTTCCCTGGTTATTATTATTATTTTTTTAATAACAATGGAAACCATACATTGTCTGCCTCCTCTGTGGGGCATTTGGTTATTTGCTTTTGTGCATTGAATGGTTTGAGGCTTGTTTTTCTCCCCTTCCACATTTGGCAATCTGGAAAATTGAAAGAATGTAGAGGAGGACCAGTCTTTGAAGATCTTAATCTAGCTGCTTCTCTTAAAGGAAGACAAGGCAGTGTTTTTGTTGATTTAAACACAAATATTGTGCAACGTTGTGTGTCGACATTGAGAGTGAGCAACAAAGGATGCCCAGCAATGTGGTCACATCGCAGCAAAAATTCCAGACAAGCCCCTGAACCCGCAAGCCACAGTGTCAGTTTTGAAATCAGACACTGAAACAACTTTATCTCCAAAACAGAAAGTTTTTCCGGAACACTGTTATGTTACCTGTATCTTGCCAATCTTCAAATACAAATCCCCAGAATTCAGTAGAGTTAACAAACGTGTCCCAATTTCCTTTGGCAAATATCAAAGAACTTGCATGTTGCATTTTTCTTATGTTAGGTTTTTCTATTTTTTTATTCCGCCTTGGTCCTCTAGATGTTGCTTCACTACAACTCCCATTATCCCAAACTAGCGTTTTGTGAGTCAGGTTTAGCCTAGTGAGAGTTCGAAGACCATAACTTGAAAAGGGTCACGGTTGAAACTGTGGGGTCTGTGTGCTCAGGTAGACACCCTCGTTCATGAGACGGGGGCAACGCCTTCTTTGCTATTACCACCCTCTCTTTTTCTCTGCTCACATTCTTAATTCAGCTGAAGTTGGAGCAAAATAAATAGGAGGAAGATGCTGAACCCCGTCTCTACTCCTTAAGCCCCGAGTGGACTCTTGTCTCACTGTTCACATCCTCTCTAGGAGAGGACAAATACCAATGCTTAGATCTATTGTTTCCTTTCCCTTTCTCCTTTCCTCCTTCTCTCTCTTTCCTCTGTTTCCTTTTTCTTTCCCTCACCTTCTCTTCCTCTCCTCCCCTTCCTACCTGTCCCTTCCTCCTCCTACTGTGCTCTCCTCTCCTCTCTTTTGCCCTCCCCCATAGGAAAAGCCAGTCCTTTTCGTGTAGGCAAAATGTTTCACCCCCAGCAGCCCCCTCTCTTTTTTGTTTAAAAATAATAATTTTTTATTTTTTACAAACATACAATAGCCCAGCAAAGACTGAAAAATAATAATCATTCCTTGAATTCAGTCTGTAGTAGAATGGGATATGGACTTGCAAGCACGCACAGGAGCCTCCTCTCTCACTGCTGCAACATCTGGCTCCAGCACCCCCTCCTCTCCCCACTGATGAAGGTGTTGTGGTGTTGTCAGGAATAAAAATGAAGCAAAAGGTTAGAATATCTGGCTTATAAAATTGTTCTTTTAATAGAAATAAGTGGAGGCATCAAAGCCCACTAACATGTACAAAATGTAGGAGAGACGAGAAAACAAAAATCAACAGACACACGTATCCAGACCTCCTTTCTACAAAAATTCTGCAGCGTGATTGAAAAAAAATCATCGTTCAGCATCCAGGACAGTCGGTAGAAAGATTTCAGCCCAAACGTACACATGCATAAATATCATCCAGTCCAAAGCATTCGGGCTTTCTAATTCTGATGGGGAAGGGAGGTTGGAGAAGAGAAGGTTCCTAGCCTGGGAAAAACTGGCAGCAAAAGCTTCTGGCCTCCCCCTCCTCCTTGCCATGAGCTCTTCCATTTTTCTAACTGATCTTCCCCCAAAACCTGAATTCATGAGGAGATTGAAACTCAGGCTTTTTCGTGATCGTGTCACCCGGTCTTTGGACTCGAGGAAGAGAAGACAGCACAAAGCCTCTTATTGTTGAGGTCGAAGGCACCAAGATAAACTTCAACTGGCTTAATGTATCTCCCACAGAGCTGGCTCATTTTTTGGAAGACGGATAAAGCTAAAATACAGAGGAGGGGGTGAAATCTCATAGGTGAATCAGGTGTTTGACAGACAGGGATGACCCAGATATTCGATTCTTCCCTTTATGAGTTGTAAAGGTGGTGGGTTTTTAAAAAAAACCCTTATCTTAAGCTTACTTTTGGTCATAGATTATGGGGTGGGGGAGATACCCCCCCCCCAACTCTGGCAAGTTACACTCTCAAATTTGGACACAAAGCAGGTGGCGAGGGCTGCCAGGAAACAAAGGAACGACCACCTGTGCTCTAAATATCAAACCACGATATTAGCTTTTTGCAAAGGTCAAACCACATCAAATTGCTCCGCTTAGAAAACCTAGGATGAGTCCTGATGTTGCAACTGTTGTCCGCACTGTGTCTCAGTGTGTGTGTGTCGCTCGGCTAGCATTCCCACAGGTGTTGGGACTTCAGTGTCAATCATTCCCAGGAATTTGGGGAATGCTAGTGTAACTAATTGCTGTTTGGATCTCGACCAACCAAAAATGGGGTAAAGGGGAGTTGGGACAAAGCTAACATCCCACTGCATTCACTGGAAGCTGGTCATGTGCTCCCATGCTTGTTTACACAGAAGTAGGTCCCAGGGAATTTAGCGCGGCTGAGTCCCTATCAGTACGTGCGGGGTTGCAGCTGAAATAAACAGACCATCCAGAGCCAACCCTTTATGAAGATTCCCCATGTTATTTCTCAACGGACTCTGTTTAGGGATTTTAATTTCTACTCTCTTGGGAAAAATAGGACATGTGTTTGGCAAATGGAAGATGCAACCTCGCTCCTCTTAAAAGCTGTGCATATAGTGACACTCGGGTTAAGCTTATTTACTTGCTTACCAGTAAGCATGCATTGGAATTTGGAATAGTCCAAAAGAAGAACATATCTTCAGAAAGACATGGTGTTCTTTGGCATATGATCCCGTAACTACCACAAACGCAGACAGGGCTTTAAAAGAAGGCTGAAGATACACTCGAGAGGCCCAGTAAAATGATGCCTAGTATACAATTTCACAGGGTGCAATCTGGTTGAGTTGGAAGGGGTCTCCAAATGCAGCTTGGTGGCATCACAAATGTTTGCCGTGTGCGAAGGGCCAATCTCAATTCTTGGCATGGCCATTTGAAAAGGGCAGATTATAGGTGACAAGGAAGCCTCATCTCTGTGTAAAAAAAAAAAAACTAGAGAAGAATAAATCTCGAGGGTGGTAGATGATTAAAGTTGATAGAAGGAGCCCATAGATAATTGGGGGGAGGGGTCTCCGGAGCACTGCTTTAAGGTCTGTTAGCTCAACCCACCACAGTTGCATGGACCTTCCTTCTGAAAACGCTAGTTGTCAAAGCCCATCTCTTCCCCCTTCTCTAAACTCACTTTGACCCACTGAGGTCCAGCGTCGTCCCAGGTTCTCCTCTCCAAACAAGCTTACCACTGCATTTAAAAATATCACAAGTAGTATCATTCCCACATACAAAGTTTTGGATAGACAGATGCTCTTCTGAAGGCACGTGTCTACCTGGCAGGTTTCCCCAAGGCTTGGTTCATGGTAGACAAGCAGAAGTCCTAGATGGTTTTCCCAAAACCAGGAAGGATGCTTTCGTCTGGATATTGCAGAAGGCAATCCGTGAAGGCACCAGTGCTGAACAAGTGCCCTGACGTAGGGCATAGAATTGTGGGGTTTGGGACTGCATAGTGCAAAGGTGCTGGACAAAACAAAACAACCCCCCCCCCCAAATCAGTGAAACCCAGAGCAAGAGCTATTTTTATTCAAAATATGGAGGCTAGGAAGTCCACTCCTCCAGGGGAAGTGCTGGTTAAGTGCCATCTCTATCTCCCTCCAGGAAGTTCTTCCAGAACTTAAAAAAGGAAGAGACCAAAAGGGTATCTGTAAGTATTTCTCTCATCATGGCCGATAGGCTGACATCTGTTTTACATGGCAGCAGTGAAAGTAACCATTCCATCCATTCTCTCTCAAGCACTGCCTAAAATGGAGGAAGTTTATAGAATCCCAGGATGAACCTTGGGCTGCTCCATCTAGTTCTGATATTCAGAACCAGTTCCGGGCCTCAGGAAGGATCCTAAACTGATCCCTCTGGCCCAGGGTCCCATTTGTGGATCAGGAACTCTTATAACAACCAAGTGGATTCCTAAAAGCCCGAAGGCTGCCAGCTCTGATTCAGAAAGATGCAAGAAAGATGGATGTAGCTTCTAAGAGGTATACCAACCATGTGTTCTCCCTTCAATCGGAGACAGCAGAGCTACAGTACCGCCCTCCAGGAAACAAAACACGAACTCCTTTCCCACCAAAGAGTTTGGTCACTTCCTTTCTGACGCAACCTCCAACTTATCATCTCAGTTGCCTGGGCAGAGCAACCCGCAAGCAAGATCTCCAGTGCAAGAGGAGGGGAAGACCCCAGCATTAGCTAGCTATCCTATTCAGTTTCCTAAATGACAGCAGGAGAGACATTCCCGGAGCAAGAGTACCTAAAGAAGAAGCTGGCGGTAAATCCCCAGCAGCTGGTGTGTCCCCTTAGTTCAGTCCCGCTTTGGCCAGATTTTGTGTTTGACCTTGACCATCATGTAGAGGGCTGTGAGGCTACAGCAAGCCATCAGCACAAGGCACATGATGGAAAAGAAGGGAGCGAGGTCGCCATGCAGATCAGCATAAATGTGCCGCCTCGTCTGGTAATCGATAAGCACCGCCTCTAACTGGATGAAGGTACAAAGCATGAGGAACATGTGGAAGAGCTGGTGGCCCTGTCCAACAAAGTGACACTTCCCGGGAAACCACTTCTCGGGGTAAGGGTAGGCGAAAAAAAAGGCTGCAACCAGGAAGCACAAAACGTGGTACTTATGGTAGGTAGCAGCCAAGTCATTTTTCCCGGAGATGGTGGAGGTGTAGATACGATGGAGCACAGGGCTGATGTCTAAAGCATAGGCTACCGCGGAGGGCATTTCCTGGCAGAGCCTGCCCTGCAGAGGGGAGAGGTGAGGGCATCGGTATTTGGCATAGCAGGAACCAGCACAGGACAACCAAGCCAACCCCACTGCGCCCAGAATGTAGAAACTGGAGATCCAGGCGTGCCATTCTGGCTCAATGGCGTAGTAGTAATGCACCAAAGCGCTACTGTACTGGTAGGTGGCCACCCCGACATAGTCCAAGAAGAAGAACGTGTAGTGGCAGAACTCAGACTTGGCTTGCAAGAGATGAGCCAAGCTGCTGAAGGTGGAGTAGATGATGGAAGACACAGCCACGATGCAGAAGGGCTGAGCGTGCAGGTCGCCCACAAAATCAACTATCTGGGAGAGTTGCCAGAACCGCCCCAGCAGCATGAAAGCCGCCAGCAGATGCGTCCAGACGTTGAGTGCTTCGTTATGCTGCTGGAAGAGGGACAGGAAGTAGAAGGTCCAGCTCCGGTGGAGGGGTCGGTAACCGGCGTGGATGTAGGGCTTGCGGAAAAGCTGAGGCACCTCTGAGGCTGCCATTGTGCAGGATGGAGCAGGCAAGGCCTTGGACAGAAGTTGAGGGATTTTGCACAAGTGCTGGAGGTTGATGAAGAGGTGGCTGAGTTTTTCGGATACAATCGTTGCCATGACAGGAACGGGAGAGACCTTGAAGAGGGAGGCAAAAAAGACATTCAGAGGGAGAACACAGCAAAGCCAGCGGGATTGATCTTGATCGGCATTCTAGGATAACGGAAGTCAGTGGGCCAGCAGGCCATTGGGAGGAAGCAGATGTGCGCATCAACACCCTCCCCCTCCCAGCACATAAACACAATTCGGCAGGAACTTAAGACTGCGACAGCCTGGTGCCTCTTCATCTGGAAATTAAGCCTAGCTGAACGCAGCAGGACTTGCTTTTAAGTAAACACACCCTCTACTATACTGCTTGGATACAACCAAAACAGGAATGCAAAAAAAAAAAAGAGCAAAGTTCAAGACGGTAACATGGACAGTAGTAACATGTCAGAGAATTACTGTTAATCCAAGATGAATTTGTCTGGCTTATCAAGTATGATTGCCGTCTTCCTCTAATTTTAGTGGCCTTTGCTAACCCTTGGATGGCTTTTATTTCTCCTTCTTTTCAAGGAATTGGATCTTAACAACCCAAAGACATTTAGAAACTTGGCCAAACCGATGGGGGCCCAGACTGATGGTGCTAAATGGTGTACGGCTTTTGGGTTTATCCCAAACAACTTGGAGCATTTGAAAGCAAGACTTGAAAAGTCAAGAAATTGGAGGCTTAGTGGAGTAACAGGCCAGGCAGGAAACGTCAGTAGAGGTAACCCTAATTGATTGCAAACCATTCTTACCTTGATTCAGATTTGACAAAACACTCCCATCCAGGCACCCTTGTCTCATCCGTTTTTTATATAGTCCAAGAAGAATTAATTGTAATTCTAAATTTTCTAAGTTGTCAAATTGCATAACTTCAGAACAATCTAATCCAGGGGTCCACAGAATGGCCCCAGAAGGTTGGGGAGCACAGATCTAACCCAGATACATAAGTAAGGAATAAGTAAGTCAGGTGGGTGGACGTGCACCCAATATAGGTAGCCCTCCATGTACGAAGCAAAATTGAGCCCAACATTTCTGTTGTTGAGCGAGACATTTGTTAAGTGAGTTTTGCTCCATTTTACAACCTCTCTTGCCACAGTTGTTAAATGAATCACTGCAATTGGTAAGTTAGTAACCTGGTTGTTAAGTGAATCTGGCTTTTCCATTGATTTTGCTTGTCAAAAAGATGCTACAGGTAACCACGTGACCTTGGGATTAAGCCACATTCACACAAGTATGAACCAAGCGCCTGAATTTTGATTGCATGATCATGGGGATGTTACAATAGTCCTAACTGTGAAAAATGTAGAGAAATCCCCCCCCTTTTTAGTGCTGTTGTAACTTTGAATGGACACTAAGTGAACTGTTGTTAAGTCGAGGAATACCTGTAGAAAATTACTTACAACTTTCCTGGAGCACAAATGATAAAATACTGCTTAGGATACTGTACAACAGGGGTGTCAAACTCCAGCCCGCAGGGTGCTTAGATCTGGCCCATGGGGCTGCCCTGGAAACAGTGAAGGACCAGCCCACGATGCCTCAGCCAGCCAAAATGGAGCTCAGGAGGGCCCTCCCGACCTCCGTTTTCGCTGGCAGAGGGTTGCAGGAGGCCATCGCAGGCGAAAACGGAGCTCGGGAGCCCATTTTCACTGGCAGAGCGCTTGGGCCATCACAGGCACCCCGGCATGAGTGATGTCAAGCTGGCCTCGCCCTCTGGCCATGCCCCTTCACTCCTCCCAAGGTCAAACACAACCCTGATGTGGCCCTCAATGAAGTTGAGTTTGAAATCCCTGTTGTACAACAACGGAGAGGAATGGAGATCAATGTGTGTCTTGCCTAAAGAAGTAGGTGTTTGAAATCAAGGTCAGACCTCAAAAAAACCAAAGGGTTCCTAACTTTATGGAGATGGAGACAATTACCGGAGAAATGAGAGGGGCTCAGCTCAGGGGCTGCGTTTTGTGTGTCCACAGGGGAGAGAAAGAGAGAGAGAGGTGGGGGGAGAGCTCATCCTTCTTAAAAGACTGCCTGCTGCAGCACATCTGCACCACCTAACAGCTGGGTTTTCTCTCTCTCTCTCTCTCTCTCTTTCTGTAGACTTGTTTTTCTCTCCTAGCCAGAAGACAAATGTGCAGGGCTAGCTGTCTAAGGGAGGCATCAGCTACAATGCACGTGATGAGTCTTTCACCAGGCAGCCGTGAGACCAGATAAGCTTTTCAGTATCATGAGCGTGTTGCTGTGGGCCGTTTGACAGGCAGAAAATGCGATGTGCCCAGTGCACCACTCAGGAGCAGCATGGCTGGGTAGAAGAATTAGTTCTAGGGCTCTTTTCTTTAACTGCTGTTCAGGAAGTCTGTCTAAACCTCCGGTAGATTTAAAAAAAAAAAAACAAATTTCCTAGTTTGAAAATGGTTGCCAGACATCATATTTATTCTGGCAGCTTTGTCCTCTTGCACAACACAAGAAGTAGATTGGTTACTTCCTCAAATGTCTTTTTCGTTCAGGCTGCACTTTCTGGATGGGAAGGAGCTGGGTCAGGATCACGTTTTACTATCTGCCAGATGCTAAAAACCGACTGAGATTTACTCCAAGAATCAGATGGGTGACTGTGATGATGGCATCAGGCGAAGAACGATCGCCTTCTCTGCATCACTTCTCCCCAATCAAATGTCCTCTAGATGCTCTGGACTCCCAACTCCCATCAGGTGATGGTCTTGACAGTCAGACACATCGGGAAAGGCACCCTTGGGGGAGGAAAGGCTGCCCGGGCTGACCACGTGACGATCTGGTAAGAAAGGGTAAAGGCACAAGCCGCGTTCATCACACAGTTATGCTTCACCTCACTCGGGGCCTCAAGAGGGTCACTTTAGAGCATAAATACAGGACTCAAGTTCTTCACAACTATAATGGTGGCTTCCATACAATGGGAGGTGAGTAGGAATAATCCAATCTCACGTCTCCATCTTTTTTTCATTCCGTTCTTGCAGAGGCCCTTGATTTTATCTGTTTTACTTCTATAAATAAACTAATAATAATAATAATAATAATAATAATAATGCTCATCTATTTTAAGAACGTAGACTTCATCTCCCTTAAGAGCTGTGGTGGCGCAGTGGTTAAATGCAGTACTGCAGGCTACTTCTGCTGACTGCCACCTGCCTACAATTTGGCAGTTCGAATGTCACCAGGCTCACAGTTGACTCAGCCTTCCGTCCTTCCTAGGTGGGTAAAATGAGGACTCAGTGAAGCAGTATATAAGTCTAAGTGCTACTGCTATAAGAAAGCATTCTCATTCAACCTTCCATAATTCTGGAGAGGATGATCAAGAGACTTCCTCAGATTATGGTGCTACCTTTATTAATAATACTCTTGGTAACTAACCACTTTGGATGGCCAGAAAGAGAGGAGTGTTTTCTTTTGGTCTGCAGAAATATCTAGGAGACTTCACCATATTTGGTGCAGCGGTAACTGCCATAAAAGGCCCCAGGATTTTCAAAGGACATCTTGATTTATTCCCGTGAGATAGGGCTCATTTGTTTTATTAGGTGTGTAGGAAGTATTAGCTTTCCGTTTGAGTTCTATGCAAGCATATCTGTAAGAGGCAAGCAAAGAAAGTCAAGATGCAAATTGTGACCTTGTTGCTTTTTAATGTCCATTGTGCACAGGGCGCAGAGCTTAGATTGCAAAGGTGTAAAGAGGGCGGAATATGACCTAGATGGAGATATACGCAGGAGCGGTTTCACAAAGGTCTGAAGCATATTTTAAGTCCACAAGGAAATAACATCTTGCAGAAGCCCAGGCAGAGCAAATCCCTAATTCACTGAAGTAAAAGCTCCAGCGTAATCAGACTTGCAAAATTCTGTTATTACAGCCAATCTCAATAAAAGTAGTTTTGGCCTTCCTGGTGTGTGTGTGTGTGTGTGTGTGTGTGTGTTGTTTTTCTGCTCTGATCTACTAGCGGAAGGACTGAAGGAAACCATCTTTTTCCTTTCCTTTCTTGCAGATGCCGTTGTCTATATCTGCTTTTCTTCTCTAAATAAACTAATAAGAGCAACAGTGTACAAATACAAATCAGGAAAATGTGCTTGGGACAAGATAAAGTGGGCTAGACAAACAATGGAGTTGGTCAAAAGAGGTAGGAAGGTAGGGTTTGTTTATGTTTTACATTTTTAAGAACATATGTGTGAGTTACAGCTTAAAGGCAAATACGAGCCCACAAATGCACTGACAACTAGGCCAAGGCTGTCTGATATCCAGTAAAGCTTCTACCAACTTGCATATTTGATGTGCCATCTTGTAGCTAACATGGCCCTTCCCAAACATTATCAGGCTACATGTGTGTTGAAACGGAGGTTCTAAGTGCTGGGTAAGTATGATAAGGAGGGTGAAAGCGCATGGGATGGGTGCGGGGTGTGGGACTAGGAATCCCTCCACCTAACACACACCGGCAAAAAAAACCCAAACAACAGAGCCACAACAGAGAATGTTGGAAGCAAGATGTCAGTTTCTGGATTCCAAGACCTAAAGATTAGTCCCAGGCTTGGTGAAGCGCAGGAGAAGCAGGACATGCTGGCTGTCTTCACGTAGCACACTCAAACCAGCTCCAGGTAGTCCAGCTTCTGACCAGTTCTAGAGAACCAGTAGCAGAAATTTTGAGTAGTTCGGAGAACCGGCAAATACCGTCTCTGACTGGCCCCACCAACCCCATCTATTCTCCGCCTCCTGAGTCCCAGCTGATCGCCAAAAATTGCCATGTCGTTTTTTTTCAACACCCTTGTAACTTCAAATGGTTACTAAGCGGAATAGTTGTAAGTTGAAGGCTACCTGTACTTAGGGGAACTGTTTTTCAGCTTTACACACAGCATGGGATCTCCAACCAAACGGGCTGGATTGATGGAACATTGTAAAGCAATTAAAAAGGAGCCATGATTAAAACTAACCATGTTTAACATGCTGTGTGAATGGCAGCCTCTAGGGGTTAACACGGGGCAAGAAGGTACACGAACAGAATAACAGAGTTGGAAGGGACCTTGGAGGTCTTCTAGTCCACCCCACCT